AACTGGCGTCATTTCGCCTCTCCGATTCCAGCGGGGAATAAGTTTGTTTTCATTTTTTATATTTTGTTCGTGCTTTGAAGTTTGTTTAGCGGTTAGATTTGTTTTACGGGGTAGGGTTGCTAGCCCTATGCCCAACCTTCCCTCTTTACCCGGGCTTAGGACCGGCTAGTAACTAGTAAACTAGTTAACCAGGCGAGGTTTCAAACCATGTTGGTTGGTGAAAACTAGATTGATTGACTTACATTACTTGTCTGGTAACCTCCGGACGGTTGTCATACGATGATTCTAACGTACATAAGCAATGCTACGATAACATCTATGATCAAAAACCTGTAATCTCTTGATATATTCTTTATTCAACGACTGTTTCTCACAGCCGTATAATTGTGGTGCACTAACTGGTTCCCAAATATATGTTGTGTATAGTTCATGTCTGACTGTTATCACATCAGCTTTATCTTATACTAATTATCGTCTTCAATTATGCGAAAAACCCGGGTTAAAAACTGTTCTATGTTCTATAGCCTAGCTGATAAGCATATTTACCAACTTAATTAGAATACGTAGATTATGTGAAAAATGTGATGTATTTGTGCTATACATTTCGAACAATTTAATCACTCATTTACTTGTTAAGGTATTATATATGAAAACTGGAAGTGGGTAAAGGACAAATATGACATAAAGGAACTAAATAATAAGAAGGATAATGAAAGAGAAAAAAGATAAGATTTGAAGACAATCATGGTAATACGATAAAATAAGCATTACCAAGGTAGGCTTAACGTAAGGACAAACTGTTTTTGCACACACAATGAGGGGTTAAATTTATTTATGGCCAGCGCCTCAACAAAATTAAGTATACACCTCTGATAGTTTTTATACAATATCTTAATGGCTGTTTTAATATCAATCCTGTGACCCTTATCGAGGATATGTTTGGCAATGGATGATGATGGTTGTATGCCATCTGTGCGTATCAATGTTTGTGAATCCAGCCGTTTTTGTAGCCATTTTGGAACATATTCCCCTACCCTCAAGTGGAAATCACGGTTAGTTATTCCTATGTATCTCTGTCCACATACACACATGTAAATTTATAAACGCAGTGGGATGTGACACAATCGTTTATACGGCGTTGAGGTCTATGTCGTAGCATATGTTTGGTCTTCTCAACCACGATAAGCTTAGTTTTCATTATCTTTCTTATTATTGAATTCCTTTATATCATATTTGTCCTTTCCCCACTTCCAGTTTTCATATATAATTGTGTGATCAGATTGTTTGAAATGTATAGCGCTAATAAATCACATTTTTCACATAATCTACGTCTTCTAATTACATTATCCAAATTAAAGAAGAGTTTTATCTGTTCATCACTTCCCAGGTTTCTGGATATCTTAAAGCTGTCGTAGACAAAACGGCATGTCGAAATTGCTCTTGAGCACAAACAGCACCTTTTACAACTGATATAGCAGTGGATATTGAATTTTGGATGTTTATTGTTTTCTTATCTTGGGATGAATAACCGCGGACTGCTCCATCCATCCATCCAAATCAACATAGGATCAGGCATTACTGCGTAACTGTCTGACTTGACACATCTCATATCAGTACATCAAGTAAAAAGGCAGTAAAGTGGAGGACGAAGAAAAGGAACTTCAGTCAAAAGAAGTATAACGTACCAAAAGAGAGAAAGGGAGGATGAGAAAATGGTGAGATTTGATACAGCTTTAAGATGAGGATAATATGTGTACACATCTGCACCACTGACATCGGTTCTGAGCCATGTGGTCACCTAGAGTCTCCAACCACTGGTTTCTGTTGTCCCGCAGACCCCAACTGGTTAGTCTGCATCGCTCCACATGGCTCAAACCAACTGTCGAAGACTTTATACATTGATGTCATGTTTTAGTCTGGGGGCCTTGAGTCTTTTTCCAGCCTGAACCTACTTCGACCAACATTGTTTGACGAGGTAGACGGTGACTAGGCATGCTTAACACATATGAGAGCCAACTGTCTCAGTCGATGAAGGTTCACAACCGTGTCAACTGTCTTACCTCTTCTTCGTAAAACTCTACTCCTGACTTTTGCGTTACTCAGATGGTGACACCACGGAATACGGCCCATACTACGAAGATAACGGTGGTCAAACACTTAAAGCCTTTTCATATCTTCCACCTATTATGGCCATGTTTCACAGCCATACAGTAGAATAGATCAGACTGCAGCATAGTACAGTCGGATATCGCGAAGACGCCATAGATGGAGCTGACAAAAGCCAACCGAGCCTTTCTTATTCGTGCAGAGATTTCACTGGCCACTGAGTCATCAGGGCAGGGCTGATCCTACTCCTCAGGTAAGTGAAGTGGTCGACACACCTTTGAAGAACAATCCTGGAGCAACAATTTGCATTTGGATGGTGAGAAACGCATCCCAAACATTCTCAAACTGCCATTCAAAGTGTCCAGAAGACTCTGCATCTTGTCATTGTCTTCACCTAACAGGACTGACTATGTCGTCTGCATATTCTAGGTCTAACGAAAATTCTCCCGCGATTAGGTCAATTTCTATGTAGTTGACCTTATCACGGACTACTGATGTCAACTATATACCACCATCAGCGTTCATTTCACAGCAAAATATTAAAAGTGATGGCAACGTACCCTATCAGTGTTACTGCTACCGTCAGTTAGTTCGCAATAATCAACTTTTTATTATCAATATATTTGTAGTGAATATTTACACACAATGATATTCTTTAATTATGGTAATATTTTGAGTCGATTTACTGCCTGCAATCATACACCAGTTGTTGGGGTCGTTTGTTCACGCGCTTGCGGATAGAATTCATATAGATTTGTCATTATTTTTCGCCAGTACTGTACTATGTTCCTTGTTGTTAGCAGTTGTACTGAGTCACCTCTGTTGTATGTGTTAGGCGTGAATTGTATGAGTACGGATTCAGTCAACAATCTTCCTTTCCATTTGTTCACGTTAGACTCTAAGATGTCAGGATTGTTCCAATCAGTCTGCTGGTATCGATGAAAACTCTTTTCCAATGTTTTATATTTCTTATATCCCTGTAATCTGACCTTCAGTCAATCGTCTGCGTTCATTCAGTCTGATTTTTGGATGATCTCGACGTTCTACCTACATAGTTAACTGAATAATCGGTACAAGACACTTTATATCATTGTTATTATGATTATTAGTTTTTCCCTTGGCTTCCTAGTGGAACATAGAGCTTCAGTAGCACGCCTCCATTTCACTCTGTTCTCTCCAATCTTTTCGACCTGGCTCCACGACTCCACACAACCTTTCATTTCTTCCTCACATGATCTCCTCCATGTAACCCTCGCCTAGGAAGCCCAACTCATCGTTTCCCCTTTGGATTCCACTCGACAGCCTGGCCTGGCGCGTGATGTCCCCAATCGGCCTTCTCAGTGTATGCCCAATCCAGCTCCACTCTCTTCTGCATATCTGTTGGGCGATAGGTTCTTGATTGGTTCGTTAGCAGGCCAGAGTTCCTTGTTGCTTATTCTTGTTATTCTGGCCATCTGATCTTCAGTATCGAGTGAGTGTAGATGGCAGCTGTTGATGAATGTCTGTAGTTTGTTGGAAGTGCTCTTCGTGACGCGCCAAGTTTCTAAAGCATAAAGCAGCACTGACTTGACGTTGGTGTTGAAAATCAGAATGTTGTTCACGCTTTGTGCTGAGTGCAGTAGATCTCTACACTGATTATTTCAGATTAATGAAAGCTTGTATTGCTTTTCCGACCGTCGTCTGTGCCTGTGTCACCTGTTGTTGAGACGATGCTGCCCTGCCTAGGTAGGTGAAAGAGACCACTTCCTTTGGGTTTCTCCTGTTGGTGGTGATTGGTGCTTGTTGTTGTTGATGCTGTTGTTGGTTGGGTATCATCATCACCTCCGTCTTCTCTACGTTGGATTTTTCAGTTGATTTAATTCATTTTGAATGAGGTTCTTGGACTTAACGTGACTCTAATACCTTCCACTTTCGAGATTCTTTTGTTATGATTCGGGTGTACCCTTGTTATATGACAGTGTTACAGTTTTTCTTTCACGTGTCTTCTTTTTTCATGATATTATCTTATATGAACTTTTCAGGATAGTAATTTTTTAATAACATATTGAATAAAATGTTTATTTCTTTTTTCTGATCATTAGAGTATGGTGTCAACGCACGTATTCTATTTGCTAGACTTTGTACTAACCCTTTTTTACACTGAGTGGATACGCTGAGTGGTAATCCAAAAATCTTTCAGAGCGCGAAGGTTTTCTGTAGACCTGGTCTCTAAAATTCCATCTATCATTCTTTGTATCTTACAGCCTAGCATTGGTAGTTCTCCTAATTCACTATCTATTTTCATAGTGAAGTTAATTGAGTCCACATAACTGTTTGTATGGGCATAGAAGCTGTCAATATCTTCTTTATTATGATCAATATGTCATCCACATACTTTTGGATTGAGGACATGCCCAACAATTGGTATAATCACGGGTTCGAAATAATACCAAAATTAAAGAACATCATTGTGTGTAAAGATTTATTTCAGATATATTTGTGATGAATTGATTCTGTCCGCAATACGCAAATCTATCATGGATATAATTAACAACCAACTCTATTTATTCACGTCAAGAGGCTACTAATAGTTAGTCTGCCCAAATGTCGTCAGTCGCTCAAGTCTTTATTATCAAACTAAATCACCAAATGAACAATTAGGACTCTATGCTTCCAACAGACAAAAGCTTTGTAGATTAATGTTACATCTCCATTAGTCCGGTCATCCTTAGCTCCTTTCGGAACTAATCCTACTTAAAATAGCATAGCATCATACGGTAGATTACCAGTCAGCATGTGTGACGCATTTCAGTCACCTCAGTCGATAAAAACCCTTAATGTAATTAACTGGTATTGTGTGCAACAAATATATGTATATTGTTCGAACTAATGATACTAATCTGTCTCTCTTCCAGGTATCAAATATCCCCTATTGGTGTGATACCAAGAGCATTCCATCTGGTCTGTTATCTGACCTTTTACCTGGTCCTGTTACTGTATTATTACCACGTTTCATGGATAAACTTCAAGATCCATTAAATCCTCGTTTAAACCCTGGTGAAAAACGTGTTGGTATTCGTATACCTGACTCAGGATTTATACGTAAACTTATATCCGCTTTACATGTGCAATCACCTATTGTTAATGGTGGTCATCCATTGGTATTAACTTCAGCCAACTCAAGCGGACAGTCGTCAGCGCTTCAAATTGAGGTAAGAAGGATTTTGAGAACTTCTCTCTTCTGACAGATACAAATGCACCCATGTTTAGTTAGGTATCAATAATCAGCTTGCTCATATATATATATATATATATATATATATATATATATATATATATATATATATACATACAACAGTACTGTACACAGAACAGGCGGAAGCTTTAGAAGATGGTATCGATTTTCAGCCATGTCATCATCAGTTCTCGACCAAAGATTCCTGTCGTCTCGGGATCACAGAATCTTCGTTCATTGAATCAATCAACACCTGATACATGTAACAAGAATGATCCATCGCATATTGCAGGTATCTGGAAAACTTTACTACCTTTAAGATAAAAGAATAAACAAACATTCGACTAAATAAAGAGTTTGAAAGTCTTATAATTACTTTGATATAAATATGAGCAACAAATTCTGCTCGATAAGTTTTTCCAATAATTTATGCTGTATCACTGTGTGCTATATGAATCAAATAAACAATTGAATTATAGAATCATACTCTACTACAGTGCTCTAGTTTTTCACTCCCACATTTATTATTGAGAGACTTCTGTAAGAAAATCTTAACCATGAATCTGGAATTCAAAGGAGACACCGCAATCTCGTGCTGAAAAACCGTCTATCAAGGTGTATCGATAGTAGCTTTTATGCTGTTAGACTAAGATCGATATTCTGTAGTCGCCGTTTGATTCAACAATGCGTGAAAGATAGGCTTCCACTTATCTGCACATCTATATGTATCTAAAAATTCATATGCTCCTGTGGAGTTGACTATATTGGACGTTGTAAGTGGGTCCTCCGAAAACGTGTTGCTTGAACATTACTCAGTTTGGCTTACCTTACCAAAAGCGAGCAAAGAAAAATGTTTTCATCCATATATGAACACCTAGTTGAGTTAGGTCATCCACCACATCGAGATTCAGCCTTTAAAGTAATTTACAACGTTAAATTGAACTACTCCAAAGGTTTGTGTTCTTACCTAAACCATATCAAACTGATCAAATATTCCATTTTTTGTAAACATTATAGCACAGTGTAAGCAACTCAACAAAGTTTAATGAATACCTTTGCTGATAGAGATGTGAATGCTTTTAAATTTTTATTACAGCTATACCGAAATTGAACCACTTAGCCCAGAGATTTTCTTTTAGTCTACTGTCAAATATTAGATAGAAAGCTTTACCATAAAGTTTGTTTTACTAAGGAAAATCAAGGCGAAACAGCACCAAGAATGTGTGCATTTCACTAAGGTGTTCAGGGGAGATATATTAGGCTTGATCAACTCCAACTTGGTTTCTGTAAATGAAGGTGATTTATTTCTGGTCTAGCCATTCTGAATCCTTATCCAACGTGATCCAGCTTCCCCTAGCAGAGAATTTAGAGGAAACCCTTTGTTCATTCTCCCAAGACGTTCAATAATTCTTTGACTGTTGTTGATATGAAATGAAAGCTTATTTTTGAAAGTCAACCAATTTGGCACAAACTTTAAAGTAATTAAAATAAGAATGGTAGGGTTTTGAGTTCAAAGATGAGTACTACAGCGGATATTTTTATGATTTGTAGGAGAATTCACCATCAGTAATATAGGAATAAAACTTGGGCACTATAGTAGATTGTAATTCCATTTTAGTCTTTTTTATGAGATATACCACACAGTGAAACAGTATCACTTACTGGATAACCTTTCGTAGGCAATTTATTCTCCATATACATACCAGGTAACTCCACATCATTGAGATAGAGTTTGAATAGTATAATTGTTTGTATTATACCATCGTTGATTGGACCCAATTGATCGGCCTCTATTGGCATATGGGCTTCTATACGGGTGCCTCGATATTGCCTGTGTTCTAATTATAGTTTAGATGGATAGTGACTAGCAGTGGAATCCAAGATGCACATTTCATCTTATTTGCGACTCTTCAGCTGGATGTACCTGCCTCCCTGTGGGTGATGTTGTTTCCACCGGGACCCATCTTTACTATAATTAGAACACAGATAATATCGAGGCATATGTACAGGAGCCCATATGCCAATAGAGAGCGATCAATTGGGTTCAATCAATGACGGTATGATGCAGGCAACTACATTATTATTATTTATTATATAATTTGTCCATTGGGTTCCTAATGGAACATAGGGCTTCAGTAGCACGTCTCCAATGCGCTCTGTTCTCTGAAATCTTTTGAACCTGGCTCCATGACAGCCTAGAAGCTTTCATTTCTTCCTCACATGATCTCCATGTCACCCTCGGACGCCCAACTCGTCGCTTCCCATCGGGGTTCCACTCGAGGTCATGACGCGTGATTTCCCTAGTCGGCCTTCTCAGTGTATGCCCACTTCGGTATACTTTTATTTTATTATCATCATTATCACCAATTTTCACTTTATTGACAACATCTGACTCCTATCTCACCAGTTAATATCAATTCTTTCCTTATTTACTGACCTATTTTGCATGTTTTAGCTAAATTATCATCGTTTTACAATTCTTTAACCACTCGTTATCAATTTGTTCCTTATTCAATGATCCATTTTCTATTTCTTCCAGTTGAACAACTACCACCACCAACACTTATTGTATATTTTGCATATTGACTGGGCAACGATTTAGTGCAGTTATCTATCATTTTACCGAGTATAAATACGACTGTACAGTTTGATAATGAAGTCGTTGGAAAGAAATATTTCTTCTTAGCTGATACATGTCTTGTTCTTATTCATGAATACATAGGTATATTTCATCAGTTAAAAGTGTGGTTTTGAATAAAGCAAATATATTGTTTTTTGAGATAAATGGAAATTTTTTAATTTAGAAGTAGTATTCATCATCGACTGACATCAGTTGGTGAACCATTAAAAATCTGGGAGCACTGGATAGCTATTTCGTCCCAGTATGGGATTCCTCAGCAGTATGCACCCACGACCCGGCTAGGGGTCGAACTCAGGACCTTCAGGCTTCACAGCGAACGCGTTAATGGGCGCGTACTGTTGAGGATTCTTATACTAGGACGAAACAGCTGTCCAGTGCTCCCAGATTTTCAATGGTTTCCCAAATGATGTCAGTCCATGATGAATACTACTCCTAAACATATTGTTATTTAGACTCCAAGAATGGGTCATTCAGACTGTACGTCACTTAGTGATATCAGTGTTATACAACTTTTGATTTTTCGGAACTGATTGAAGAGTTAACATCAGAATATGTTCTTATTCGTATGATGATTCTTTCTATTTTTTTCTAGGAGTTTTCTGAACTTTGGTCTTTGGTTGATCTCATCATAAATGGTGGTCCAATCCAGTCGAACGTCTTCTCATTATCAATCCAGATTACAATCGAGCTGGTTCTACTATTGTAGATTTATGCAATTGTGACAAATCTGTTTACTCTATAGTACGGGATGGCAGGTAATTTACTTCTTAACCAACTAACTGATCATTATGCAATACTCCTTCGGTGTATTCATTATTTTTCACTATCTTATCGCGATGGTTATGAAGTGGCGGAAAATGTTGTTAACTGGTATCTCCTTAGTTCAACACTCCAGTTTACTGTATTACGTAACCACTACCTATTCTATTCACACTTTAAATATGTTTCCAGTTGTAAATCATTTGGATACATTCTGTGTTGTGCGTTAAGGAATTACTTGTTTTTCAGAATTGTAAATTGTGATACTGTCATCGTAAAAATTCCCAAAAACTACTTGTTAGCTTTGAATTTTTCCAAATTATCGCTATAATTCAGCTGAATGGTGAATGTTTGTATTGGTCGAATAGTTGTGTCTTGATCTAAAGGCTTTGTGGTTTTCATCATTCCCTATCTCTTCCATTTTCAAATCCAGATACTTTTGCTAATTCCCTTCTTGTTCTTGCTTGTTGTGACTTTACATCATATCATTTTTTATACCTTCAGTTTTATACTACTTTGTATTGTTGAGTAGTATAATTCGTGTTTCCGTATAATATCACTTCATCTGTTCACTCGCATCTTGTTCATCATTTAACATCCCTAGATATTAGTACATTTCTCGATTCATGATAGTGTTGGGATCCCTTTCATTGTTCCTTGATGTTCTATTTATCCTGAACACTTGATTATCTCGTCTCTTTACGTCCTCGTGTGAAAATACGCACGTCTTTTGTATTCCTTTCTGGTTTACTTTAGACACAGCCTTCCCTTTTTTTTTTACTGTTGACACATTCTCTTAAGGTGCTTTCATAGAGATCAACTCACAGACACCTCACGAGCTGAGGTTGGTAATTTATTAGTCACTATTTTTCATTAGCATAGAACCGTACCTCATACAAATCCTGTGTTTTACGCATAACTCGACCGTTTGGTTTATTGTTGGAGAATCGCTCGGTCGTTTTAGTTCTCAATTTCTAATCTTTCTTCATTTCAATGATAGCTTGTTGAAGATTCATGATTGCTCTATGTGCTTCTAGTTTATTAATGATATAAATCTGTTATGATGCGAACTTGTGAGGAAGAACGAAAATACTTAACGACTGATAGTTAAGGGTTGAGACGATTCAACCCGAGTGATTCTCAAAGAGGAAATCAAAAGACTGGAAATCCCATGAGTTTATAGTATCTCGGACTGAAAATAAACCCTATTTATACAGTTTACAGTAACCTGGAAAGGAGGAATAATTAGTTCGTTTAAAGAGACAGGAGCCAATCAAAAAGCTAGCTGGTCATACGAAATATGACCCATGCGCAGGAAAATAGCGCGAAATAAACCAGTGCAAATATATACAAACTGAAGTATAGAATATAAGAGATATAGTAGTCCTTAACAAAGTCATACTTATTTCTCTAAGTTGATGAGATTGGGAACCTTAGTCGAGTCAGATGGCTCGGGCATGTACTACGCATACCGAGCAACCTCCCACCTCAATGTTACATGCTAGGGGAAGTTCGATAAGGCTGGAAGAGGGTTCAAAGTGGCCAGACCAAAACGTGGTACCAGCTAATAAAGTCTGTGACTGTCAATGTGAGCCGTGTGGAGAGATACGGATTGCCTAGTTGGGGTCCCGAGACGAAAGGGATCATTGGTTGAGAACATGTTAGTTTTTGCCTGTGTATCTTTGAGTTTGTGCGACATATGACATGAATGATCACCGGCGAAATCAAATCTTCTTCTGGGGTCTTTTCATCGGTCCAGCCAGCGTATGACCATCTTCTCACAGCTACTCACGGTTGTTTGTTGCATGACCCAGTTTAGTCGAGTCGACCACAATCAGGAAGATGATCAGTGATAGTAGGTGGCAACCTTGTCTTACTCCTGTCTTCACTTCAAGGCATCGCTGAGGTTTCTATTGTGAATCCCTTGGCATGTAGCATCATATAGCTGCTGTTGAATGAGGTTGATACAGGATTGTGGCACTAAAACCGTAGTGCTGAAGCATCTGCCAAATTACTTCTCGATTGACGCTACCGAAGCCTTTTGAAATTTGATGAAGTTGAGGTAAAGAGTTGACTACCATTCTATGCTCTGATCTACGATGATGCGTAGAGTTGCAATTTGATTTGCACATGATTTGTTTTTCTTGAAGCCAACTAGTCTGTTCCGGTCGTAATTTTGTTCATGATCAATATCAACCTGAAACCAATAAATAAACCCTCCCCATCCTGTAATTAGACTAATTTTTCATTTTAGTCTAGGTGTGATTTTCAGTCAAGTTCTATAAGAAACCATATCATTACTAATCATAGGATTGCATCATAATTCATATATCTCGTTTTTTTTCGTGTATATTTTTAGTGCTCTCGACGCTACAGTTGCCATCCTGGAAGGTCGTTACAATCTAACCAGAGCAAAATATTGACTCACTCACTTTTATCAGGAAATTTTTCATTTGATCCCATCATCTATTCGCTCTGTTACTTTCAGAGTGAAGATGATGTAACATACGTTTTTATTATCTCCTTGTTTTGCAGATCAGTTATTCATATTCACACAGGGATCGCTATATTTTACTTATTGATCTGGTTTATAATTTGAGTGTTATACTATGCCCATTTCAACACTGGAATATTAAACATGTGAATATTCTTTCAACATTTATTGCTTATAATGAATTGGCGTGTACTGTCAACGTCTAACGTAACATTTCTCTTGTCCTCCTCTATTGTAAAAAATGTTATGTAATATTGTGTCTTCACAGCATCCTCTTTGTGTAGATGAGTTAATGGTATAGGCGTTTGACTGGTAACTTTTCGTCTGCCCACTTCGATCTAAACATAGAGGGTTAGTATTTTTAGGCTCAGGATAGAGTATAAAGTGTGGAGTTCATAGGCTTGTTCACATACTTGTACATAAGCAAAAGGAGCTCATAACTTGGTGATCTGTGTTAACATGAAATGTCTGACCTTATGAAAATGGTTCTCTTTTAGTCATTAAGTGTGTTTTCATTGTTTTACTGTTAAAGTGAAACAGTCGTTCAGTTGTGGAGTATGCGCTGCATATCGTGATCTAGCTATTCCTCTGCAAACATTCATGAGTTGTAAAAAAAAAGCTGGGTGCAATCAGCTAGAAGGATTGATAAGATCTCTTTTTATCTTGTATCTGTTGTATCGTTTATATTTGTCATACTCACACTGGAGTGGATAACAAATTGTAGTTTTACGAAAGTACATTTAACAGCTTTTAGTGAAATTACATAAGGAAGAAAGTAAAGTTTGGGGTATCGACGTGATTATTTGAATTTGTTAGTGTTTTGTCGGTAGTACAATCAGTCAGTCGATATCAGCATGGGAATTGGGATTACTATGTTTGCTCTAGGCACTCGACTTATAACTAGTGTATCATAGGTCAGGGCCTTACTTCATCTACTGAGTTCTAGGCAGTCAGATAGGATACTTAGTCGTCAAACAATAGGTATGGCTCATTGCCTGCTAAACGAACGTGTACGTAGTTTCTTTCTTCGATTACTTTATAATGGTCCAATTTGCTACATCATTCCACCAAGGTAGAAGATAATAAGACAATATATAAAGAAATGGACAGGAGAGTAATCCAAAGTTGTGCAAAGTGTGTAAGAAGGGATAAGACAATCATGTAAATCGGTTTGATGTTTAGGATGAAGACGAATTGTGGATGTGTCTGCGCCTCTGACATTGATTCTGGGCTATGTCGCCTATCGGTTATCGCATGGACCTCAAGCGAATGGTTCAGACCAACAATTATATACTCCATGGACTAATACCATGTTTTAGTCTGGCCACTTCTTACTTTTACTCAACCTTAACCTATATCATTTAACATTATGGATGTTGCAGACAGTGACTAGACATGCGTGACACGTCTCTGATCTGACTAGATTAAGTAACACTAGGACACTAAAAATGAAAGAAGGAACGGAAAAGAGGCCAGAAACGAGTTAATAGGGAAGCAATCTTAAAGATATGTCCGGAGAAGTAATCGATACTTCCGTTTTACTTCTCAATAATAGAAGCAATAAAGCTGGGGCATGATAGCCATTGGTTTCTATTCGGAGCCATATCTTTTATCGTCTCATGTCACTGAGTTATATTATCCTGGACCCCATCCAGGGAGTCGTGAGACACTAGATGCTAACTTGACTGTTATTCATCCCACAATGACGCCTCAAATACGGGCCATCTTCTCGGTTCTTTCACTCAATCCGAAGGAAAGTGAAACTCTGAAAAGACTAACGCAACTTATTTTTAAGCCACTGAGGTCAGTGTTGCGAGATGACCTCACTCAATCAATGAAGATTTGTATCACGCTAAAACATAGACCGTTACAGGACAGCTTAAATGGCGTCTCTACCAGATGCAAGCAGTCCTACGGAAACATTGGTGATCGAAAACCCAGAGTCATTGAAGGTCCTTAAGCCAACAATTCATGTACACAGTTTTTAACAACTTCCGACGGTTCACTGTCAAGAGTGAGTGTATGTACAGACTCATCCAGTCGTATAGAAGAACTTTGACGGCGTAAACCACATCATTATGATACTAGTCGTTGACAGTGCGAATTGAGTAACATGTATGTTATCGCACACTAAAACAATATCGTTCACGTACTCAAGAACGAAAAGTCTTACATCCAGTAATAGGTTTACACCTTCAGGAAATCATGGATGACAAAGTTTAAGAGAAATAACGAAATCAGACAGCTCTGTCTGATCGCGCTGTTGGTTTAAAGCAATGGAGAGAAGTCACTGTAAGACTTCAGTCTATCTGAGGCATCCAGTTATAAGGCTTTCATGCTGTTAACAAACTTATCAAGGATACCACTAACAGACAATTCCAGTGAATGAAATGCAACCTTAATACCATTAGCTTGCAACATGTGTGTCGATGTTCTAACATCTCACAAAGGATGACGATGTGATTAGTGCATCCACAACCTGACCTATTTCTTGCGAATCAGTTGTTTTTGCACAGCCTGTAAAGTGTGATAGCAGTCTATGAATAACGCAGACCCTTGAAAAAGATGAGGGCACCAATGGGTTTATTCCTGAGTGGTGGAATACTTAGTCTGAAATACCTTTCCAAAACATGTGCTCAATTCCCAGACTACAATGTTACATTCATCCTTAAAAATAGCAGAAGGTTACTTGCCCTGGGTTGGCTGCCCCCTGTGGCTTTAGAAATTGAAGTTCTTTATGAAACTCCTCTTCTATAAATGAGATAGCGTTAGTCGACGGTGAAGCGCAAGACACTATAGTGGTTGTTACTGAAGCAGTACACCAGCTGAACTGTTTTCTGGAGTTCATCAAGTTTTTCAGACGTCTAAGAGGTCGTGAATAAGCATACTACATACTTCACAGACTGTCCTATTAACACCAGGCTTCTTGGTGTCGGTGGCTAGGGCTTTTTTGTTTGTCTTAGTCGGCGCAGGAAGCAGATAGTAGTGAAGGTTTTCTTGTCGATGGGAAGAACGTCAAGTGTGTTTAGGGAGGAGGTAGCTAAGCACTGTTCTGAACATGGAAGCAGTTCTTTTCCTGATAGAATATTCTATCTGCTGTAGCAACAGTGAACTGCATTTAATAACCTACATCTGAAGGTTAGCAAAAGTCAGTGGATTTCTCGAGTCTCATCCGAACTGATTATTCCGGGAAGATCCATTCCAACTGAATCTTGTCACAATGAGGAGCAAAAATTATCGAAACATGATTTATCTAAGAGATTGAATGACCATGAGCAGTATTGGGTTAGGAAAAAATCCATGGTAAAGCTATGAGCAACGGTATATTGATTGGTCTTTAGGAAGTTGCCAATCTCCTACTCTCTACTCCTTAGTGCTGATCGCATTCTATCGATCATTTTGAAATGTGGCCACTTAGGAAGTAGACACCATTTTGATGCACTGAGGTAGATTTTACTTTTGAGAAGTAACCATGAAAAGTATCCCCTGAGCTACAAATATTCTCATTTCAACACAATATTTCGATGGAGGCAATCGGCAGAAAGCCTTAGTCTAAGTTTCGTGCTTGTTGTCACTCATCAGCAAGGTGTATCTGCATCCTGGACGAAAGTGATATTCCGTCTGGGACTCGAGACCGCTTCACCCAGTGCTGTGATTAGACGGTACCACTGAGTCATTTGGGACGGGATCGACCTCCTGTAGGACTCGATTAGTCACCGGACGATAACTCCACGTTGTCTGGTCGTAAAACCTGAGTGATTCTGTCGAGGCATCCAACTAATATCTGTCTCAGTGCACCGCGATAATGAGTCTCTTAGCTTGGGGACAAACTGCAAAATAATCGATGGAATTCGATCAGCGATTCACCTTCAATCATCACCTGGTATCAAGTGGTTGTGGCTTATTGGTTTAGAAAGTTGACTTTCAACCAGTGGATAGTGGGTTTGAACACCGCTCCACCTACCGAGGTTTAAACGGTCAGATAATGTCATTGCTTTCAAACAACGGGTGCGGCTGACTCCCTAATATACGAATCTGCACAGGGTTGCTGATTCGACTCGATCCAGTATCAACATTTAAAAAAATCTAATTTCATCATTGATATTTAAAAATGTTCTTGTAAGAAGATTTGATCCGACAAAATCTCCGCGTGGATACAAATAGCTACACTGGTCTTTACCAGCTTAAGGCATTTATGTTGTGGCCAGGATATCCGATTGCCCGTTAAGCATCTTTTCTACTGTATGGCTATAAAACATGATCATTAAAGGTAGAGGAAATGAGAAGGCTTTTGGTGTTTAACCACCGTTACTTTCGTAGCATATGCCGTGTATCATAGTGTCACCACATGAGTAATACCGAAGTCAGGTGCAGAATTTTAAAGAAGTGAGGAAAGTCAGTTGATGCGGTTGTAAACCTTCATTGGGTGAAGTGGCTGAAACATGTGCTATGTACGTCTAGTCACCGTTTGCCTCGTAGCATAAGTGTTAAGCGAAGTAGGTTTAAGCTGGAAAATCGTCCAGGTGGTAAACTGGAACGTGGCACCATAGCATGAAATCTTTGTTGGTGTAAGTTATGCAAAGAGTTGCAGACTAGTCAGTTGGAGTCCACGTGGTTAGAGAATCTATGTTACATGGGTCGGAATCGATGTCATCAGCACAGATGTATCCACATTTTCTCATTCTTCCTTTCTCTGACCGATTGTTTATTTCTCTATTTTCCATCTTATTGGCGTGGTAACTTGGACCTTTACGCACCAATGAGTAGTCCTACGTTGATGATGAGGGAGATTTGGATAATGGCCAGTCAGTAGTCGTGAGTAATTTTGAATTTAACTTTGTTCTCAAACTTCACAGTACAAAATCAAAGGTTCGATTTAATGTATTAGGTCTTTACAACGGATAAATGGAGACGTAAAATAAGTTTTTC